ATTCTGCTACATTTTTTAGAATACTTCTAATTCTGAAAATATTTGTGCTTTCTAATTAGGGATGCACCGGCAATTACCCGGTATCTACCAGGATAGATTTTCATTTCTCGGTTATTATTCAATTTCGGTTGACGAATTTCAGTACCAAATATCCCATTTTTTCTTCTCCGTGTGAAACTGTCCAAATGAGGGACAGTTTCACTGAAGAGCGTTGCTAAAAGCTATTTCACCCCAATACTTGAACCAGAAATTTTATTGTGTTCAAAACTAAAAAGATATGTAATAGCATTATTCGCTTTTTGGATTTTATGTATGGATAAATTTTTTTTCGGTATGGCTATAGGAATATTCAACTCAACGTTAGAAATAAAATCATTTGATTACCCATAAAATATAAAAGATAGTTCTCATAAATTTTGCTTACATTACTGTAAAAATACCGGCATTTTATACAAAAAAAGCACTTTAAAAATGTCCTTAATTAACTAAAGTTGCATTAAAAAAATCTTTTAAAAATTTAATAGATTATAAAGTCCACAATTTGCCTCTAAAGGAAAGTCTTATGTCAATAAGTCCAATTATTCTGAATTTCTTTTATAAACTTCTTAAAATATAGTTTAAAGCGTGTAAAAAATCTGAAATTAAATATAGATATATTAGCAATATTTGTGCTTAATTCATTTACTTCAGATTCTATTTGTTAGATGGAAAATTACTTTTTTTTAATATTTGCATTCATGCTATCATACCTAGCTTGGTAATCAATCAAATTTAAACCAGACAGCCAGAGCAGTCTTTATCTCCACTTCGCAGAAAAAAAGGTGCAAAAAAACTGAAAGCTCTGAATAACTTTTGATCACCTCACGAATTCAATCTGAATGTTTTAATAGGGTGACCACAAATATGCTAATACTGAGTGCAGTCGTTATTTTAAGTTGCGAACTTTCTTTCTTTTCCCATACTCTCTCTGACGGATTTAACAAATTTGAATTCATTTGGAGGGTAAGAAAACATGGTCCCAGTAGTTCGATCAAGAAAGCGGTTGAAAGTTTGGTCTTTTGTAAAGTTTGTTTTCTGAAAAGTTTTAATTAATGTAATATTTTTGAGTATTTCCCTATACCTCGAAAACTTTTTTAGTGAATGGAATATTTTTGCACACAATTATAAAATTCACTTATCCATAAGAAAATAGTAATTATTTATTAATTTTTATTGTTTCATTTGAATTTAGTCTAAAAATTTGTCGAAAAATGGATGAAATTTTACATGATTTAAGAAAAAGGTAATTTTCTACAGTAAAATGCAAAATTTAAACGAAATCGGCCGCATAGTTCTTGTGAAACCAAATTTTAAATACATGTTTGTTTGTTTTATTATTATATATGATTTTCCAGATTGGTAAAATGGTGCACGAGAAAAAACATCCCAACCAAGCTCTAACAACTTTTTTTCGAGTTATCAACGACAAACGAGGCCGAACAGTGTTCTAATAATCACTCTTCTGATTTGTAATTTCTGTTCGATTTTTTTTTAAAAAATCTAATTGCTTTGAATGAAGAAAGTATGATCCAGAAAAACGTGATCTGGCTCTAAGGAAACACCAAGCAAATCGGTAACTCTTAGAGAAAGGTTTTGGCAAAATTAGCAATATAATATAATTTTATAACATGCGATAAAATTTGGCAAATGTGATAAAATTTGGTAATTTTATCATGATACCTCAAAGAGTGGCATAAAAATCCTTTATTCGTTTCAGTTTACTTTTCAGTGCATTTTTTCTAAATGTGTGATAATAATAACTATAATTATGAAAACCAAAATTTTCGGTTAGCAATTTCCATAAAGAACGGAAAAATTACCAAATGAATGATTTATATATCATGTATTTTGGTTTTATTCACCAGAATAATGGTTTTCTTTACTAGAAATGCCTCTCCCATACTTTTTTACCAGACTTTTTCAAGATCAGAATAAATACATTTGTGAATTCTGTATTTTACTTTTATTTTCAGTTCATTTATTTTTTTTTAATATGTACTTATGCTTTTTGCTCCAGTATATATTGAACTGTCCATATACTATCTACTAAAATAGGAAAATACTTTCAGGAAAATCACTCATTTAATCAAAGTTTTCAAAATAAAAATCTATATTTTTTTCCATTTTTGTTTAAAAAATATCTGATTTGAGATCATTTAAAATCCTGATCTGCAAAAACTCTTTTCATACCAGTCTACTTTAGATAGTACAGCCAGTTTTTTTTTACTCGACCGAATACATTCGATGCAATTTTTCTTCTAAATAAATATTCTTTGTTAGTAAATTCCCTCGCTAGATTCTTCTGTATTTTCTATATGGATTTAAGAGACTCCTAAAAAGAAGTTCTCTATTGATTAAGTTGTCATGGATACTAAGTGAGAGGTTTTTTTTCCCTGCAATTATGATCCAACCTTTCTGGTCAAAATACAAATTGTTTTCCGTGAGTTCGTGGGTGGCTCAAATATTTCTTGAAGCACGCATATAACAAGAGATGTATTGTAGTGTTTTATCTCAATATAACGAAAAAATTGGGATGCTTCATGTTGTGAGCGTATAAAAGGAAGCATTATCTACTTATCTATGAATAACTTGCTACATATACACACCTAAAACAGCGATATATAAGAAGGACCATATAATATTAAGCTTTTTTCTAAGTTGGAACTATTAGATCTTTAATATTTTTTTCAAGTAGATGATTTACAAATTTCCTGAATTTCTACTAGGTAGGGTAAACTAACCAGTGAAGGAACATTTAAGCTTCGTTTGCCTTTTAAAAAATCATATTAATTTCAAAATTCGTAATTTTAATTAAATGTCAGTGTCAACATATTTGCTACTAATTGCAAATTATGTAAAAAAAATCATAGAGAACTTACATAATATTGTTTTAAAGTTTTGGAGGTTCAAATAACAAGTAGCAGGAAGACCAAGTGAAGGAACAGCTCTTACCAGTGAAGGAACACAAAATTTCCCATTAAAGGAACACCTAATTTTGGTTATTTTTTAATGCTCTTTATGAATTTATATGCCATACAAATATCTGAAAACAAGCCTATTCTTGAAATAATAACATACAAATACTTGAAAAATGTTATTTTTTTTTGTAATCATGAATTGAAAAGTAAAGTGTCAACATATTAACACATACTGTTCATTCACTGGGAAATCAATGCCCAGTAAAGGAACATGCCTGTTCCCTCACTGGTTAGAAGTTATTTTTCGTATTTTTAACATACTTTTGATGCGGAACAGCACTAAAGGTATAAGAAAATTAAAGTTTATCTTTTATTTACTTAGAAAAAAACCCAGTAAAGGAACATTTGTTCCTTCACTGGTTTTTCATCGTTTGGTGATCCAGTGAATAAGCACCCCCATATCTCAGTACTTTATTATGCTATGATGCTTAAAAAAAAAAAAAAAAAAAAAAAAAAAAAAAAAAAAAAAAAAAAAAAAAAAAAAAAAAAAAAAAAAAAAAAAAANAAAAAAATAAAACGTAACTTCAATAACTATATTTTGAATTCTCTTTTTCAGAGTGAGAAAAATAAAACTATTACATGCAATTAATTCCTCTTCAAACACATAAATACAAACACTCACCTTATAATTTTTTTCAAAGAAACAAGGTGTTGCACAGATAATAACAAATTCAAAAATGTTTCCACAGAAGTCTATTTGACCAGGTAATCCGAAACATTGCTAGATGACTTCCTATTGTTTGGCAGTAAGCTATTGTTACCAATCAATCTAAAGAAAAACTTTCAAATTCTTATTTTTAATCAATATATATGAAACGTTCCTTCACTGGGTAGTGTTCTGTCACTGATTGGTTTACCCTAGCATCATAGCATACAGAAATATCTCATTGCTTAAATGGATATTGTTTCACCCAAATACTTTTCTAGACAACTGTGATTTATCGTTATATTGTCCAATCCCTTAACTTACATTCATTAATAGGGGTAAACATTTTGGATAAAAAAAAAACTATACTCGCATTTATTGAAGGGTAAAATTTTGCAATTGGCACTATTGAACCCTCTTTTCTAAAATTGAAAATTTTAAATGATTAATTTAGAAGATATTTTTTTCTTTTTTTTATCAGACATTACTTTAAAAGCTGTTTTTTTTTTCAAATATCGTAAACCTTGCAAGATTTATTTCTAAAATGAAGAAAAGTTTTAAAAAGCTAACGAGAAATATACAAGTTCTCAGAGTATTATAAAATATTTACAATTATAAAATATTGCATTTTCAACGAAAAATATGGTAATCTGGTGGCAGACAATTTTGCTCCATATTCAACAGGTTTTTCTTTCCAATGCCCAACTGGGCAATGACATTTCGTCAATACAGGCATCTGAAGGGCAGATTTGTTGGCAACTCTTTCAGGGGCACCGTATTAGGTGGGTCATGTTGCTCCCACAGCAAGGACAGTTAGTACAGAGAATGAAAGAACATCCATGCCTTGTCTGGGATTCAAACCGAGAACCTGTCTGATGCAAGGCCAGTTCCCTAACCCCTACACAGATCGGCTGACCTATATTCAACAGTAAATATGACAATTTAAGAGTTTCAGTGTCAGATTTTAAGAAGAAATTCATCGAATTCCTGTGGGGAGGCAGCGACAAGAAATGGGCAATGCTAGCAGAGGATTTGTGAATTGCATATGTTGGGATGGTGTGCTTATGAAATACATTATTTCTGAAAAAAAAAACTTTTTAAAAATTTTCTAAGCTTTAAAACTAAATGTTTTTATGTTTATTGTGTGTTCTTGTGTCTTTAAATCCATTAAAACCAATCATCCGTTCTTTGTAACACCTTAAAATCGCTTGATGCCACAGCTTGTAAAACTTTAAACTTAGCTGTACTAATATCGTGAACTAATTTAGAGGTTCTTATGATTTGAAAAGTAATTTGTCAAAAATGCAAATTCAAGCAAGTTGTTCTTTATTTTCTAGATTCCAGTACATTAAAAAGAAACAAATATGAAATATTTTACTCTTGTTTTTGCTGTTCTCTTTCTTTCAACGATTGTCTTTGGATCACCATATGTCGTAGAAGGTAAGACACCTTCCTACCATACTCATTTGTTATTCACATTATTTGTTATTCTATTAGGAAAACATTAAATTTAAGTCATTTTCAGGAAAACAGACATTTTTGAACATTCTCTGGAAAAAGTCATTTTAATTCATTCTTTAAATCAAAAACTATTAAAATGAATTGCAATTTTTAATATTATTGTTATTATTTATGAGGACAAGAAAAACAAAAGAAAGCATTTTTATCAATAGAGATTTATTTTTGAGTTGTTAATACCTTATTTCCATTCCTCCACGCGTTACTTTACCATCATTACATCCTTTTATGTATTAGTAATAAAATGACGAACTTATTAATATTTAATTATAGTAATTGCCAAGAAGTATAATAATTGTTTTTTGAAATCAATCACATGGATGGTGTTTTCAATACAAATGTAAACAACAACAATCTCTAGCTCTTGACCAACTCTACTTCCGGTTAGGTAACATGCAGTTGCTTAATACAGCTTATTCTGAGAGGCGATATTCACAAACAGATAATTTTGTTTTTAATAAAATAAATAAATTATATGATTTCTGGAGTAAATTCTGCTGTATTTCATAGGCTATTAATGTTATTAAGCAATTCTGTTGAGTTTGAAGTAAAAATTTGCTTTAGTTATTTAGAAATGTATTGTTTAAAAAGGTGACATGTTTGCTAGATTTAGAAAGAACTCGTTTTTGGCAGTTCTGGTTTGGAATCTTTTTCCTTGTTTATTGTTTGTTCTTGGTACAAGCCGTGCACCACCATACGTAAGTGTTAGAATATTGTTCAAGCAGCGAGATTAAGTTTATTTTACAAATTTCGAAGTTGGTATATTGTTAACAAGGTAAAAAGTGTTTTATAACGATTCTTTTTTCAAATGACAGTCCTTACGTCTTGAAATGACAAATTTTCAAATGACGATTCCTGTAACGATTCTTTATTTAAACACAAATAATAAATCAGGTAACAAATACACGTATACAAGAAATATTATTCAAGAGAGTCTCATGACACAATGATCACGTTGTGAGCCAAATGTCTTCAAAATACACCAAAAACAGTAACCCGGAAGTATAGGCAGTCAAGAGCTAGCAGCGCTCCCTAGTGTCGACAACACCATTCATACAATATATTCATACAAAATATATTCAACTCATTTATAAATATACTCATACAAGAAAATGAGTTATAATGATTAACTTTTTATTAACTTTTTAACTTTGTATTTTTGTTTTACTTTAAAAAAACATGAGACAATGATAAATACAAAAAATGTTATCTGTTCAGTGTATTTACAAGAAAAGCTTCAGTGAGTTGAAAATGGATGCTATGTTGTTATATATCGCTAAATGTATATCAAACTTTTTAATATTTTCAAGGAGGGATAATATATTGTTGTGAACAAATAACAATGTTTAACTTTCAATGCTTTAAAATAAAAATTACTTAAGCAAATTCTTTCTTATTTTAATTTAACAATGATGCAAGTGAGGGAATGTCACGCATAGGTTAGTTGCATAAAATGAGTAAACATTCAAAAATAATAATCTTATTTTAATAACTTTATTAAAATGCATTATAAATTTTTTTGCCACCTCAGCCAAAACAAATGCGCATAAATCATAAAGCGAGCAAAATGTATACTGGGAAAAAGGAAATATTTTTTTTCCTTTTGTGAAAAAGACTAAGATAAGGGACAAAACGAGAACGCTTAAGCTTACTGGGTTGTAAAGTTCCACAAAAAGTTATTTTTGAAGAATAATTTTTTTCCTAATTGCACAATATGTCAAGAATATTTTTCTTGAGTTTTAAGTCAATCAATGCAAAAACTGTGGAAGAAAGAAACTTTGGACACTCTAATCATTAAGTTTTTCCAACTATTAAAAAAAATGCGGTTTATTTTTAGGAATAAATGAAACGACATTTTTAACCATAACAAATAAGTATATATTTGTACGTTTATAAGATCATTTGTGTTGTATGCACTAGATTTACAGCAAATAAAACTATTTCAGGAGATTATGGAACGGTAGAAGATAATTTATTACACATTGACAAGTAAGTATAAATTTATTTTTATTATTACATCTAACAAATCCTAAATCGTACTATTCTTTTTATTTATCTTACAAATACTTTTTAGTTCGGAAAAAATATAAAGAATGTTTTTGTCTATTTATTAATTAAGAAATTACTATCAAAACTGGTGATTTTTCCTTGAATAGCCGCCAAGTTTAATTCATTCCAGAGACGAAGTTCACAAGACTGTCTTAATTTAAGACTTTTTTTTTTAATGGGTAACTTTAATTTGAGATTTAAAAGGCAAAAGCTATATAAAATTTGTTTATCTGCCGTATAATCTTCATGAATTTGTCTGAGATCCTATTTTAGTCAGGCAGATACTATTATTGTAAAAACAAGCTTAATATAACATGTGCACAAAAGGTTTGCAATATAAAGTAGATAAAAATTATGTCTAAAAACTTTTGTTAATTCAATTAAAAAGTTTCAAGCATTTTTAAAAGAATGGAATAATGGGAATTTAAAAAATAGAATAAATCCTTATACAGCTTAAGTAAAAGCAGCTGAGTTCCCGGAAATTAAGAAATTTTTTAAATGTTTCTGAATTTTTAAAATTTTTATTTTAAAGTCAATTAAAGAAAATAATTTCAAATTTTTAAAAAACGTAAATTTTCTTTACCTTTAATATTTGCATATTGATAAAAATCTTTCTGAAGATTGTACAAGTAATAATTAAGTAAGCTGAGTAATTAAAAATTATTTCCTTGCTTCTCCTGAAAATATTTACTTTTCTCCTACAACTATAATTGTGCATGAATACTGAAAAATATCTATATAATTTTTGGATAAATAATTTCAGAATAAATTTTAATACTTTTCAATTTGGATCAAAATGTCATGACATTTAGTTTTTGTTAATAACTCAGTTTCATAATTTTGGAGTAAAATTTTCGTGATTTCAATTCGGAATAAATTTTAATTTAATTTTTTTATTTAATTAATTTCATCCTTATTCAAGTTAGTTATTTCGAGTGTAATTTAAGTGATTTTGAATTTGGAAAAAATATTGTTTTTTTTTTTTTTTATTCACTGCATTTATATTCAGGTTCCTTATCTTGAAACAAAATTTTAGCGATTTCAATTGGGAATAAAATGTGATAAAATTTTTTGTTGATAACAGAACCTTAATTATCAGGTTCACAATTTCGAAATAAAATTTTAGTGACGTCAATTCGGAACAAAATATGATGGTATTTTGCTTTTGTTCATAACTATACCTTTATTCAGGCTCAAAATTTAGAAATTAAATTTTAGTGAAATCTATTTAAAACAAAATGTGTTCACATTTTGTTTTCGTTAATAATTATACCTTCATTCAGCTTCCTAATTTCGAAATAAAATTTTTATAGTTTCAATTTAGAGCACAGGGTAATATTTTGACGTGTGTTGTTTGTACACAAAGCAAATCTCAAAAATTTACTAGCATTGCTAGTTTTTTTTTATTTTTGGGGGATTTAAATCAATAAACTGTCTATGTTAGTAAGTATTTATAGAATTGATTGTGTTTTAGGCGGAGTTGCATTCGGCGTTCATCAAGCTGTGATCATCGCCCAAATGATTGTTGTTTCAGCTCTGCTTGTCGATGCAATTTATGGGGTACCAATTGCCGATGTCAAAGAGCTGGTCTATTCCAGCGTTGGGGCCGAAAATGAAACGTCATTCAAATGAAAATATAAGACAACCAGAGGTTCCCCGTGAAAATTGTAATATTGAAAATTTAAAGATATTGTTTACAATTATTGTAGTTGTTAAATTAATAGTATAATATGATTTTTCGTTCGCAGAGTATGAAAAGATCAGCTATTGTATGCGTATGTGTGTTAATGTAACTTATTAACTCGTCTTCAAAGTACAAATATTGATTTTCCCTGAGCATAGAGTTTCCTATTTATTGCTTTTAAGATGCATTTGTTGCATTCATTGACTATAATTTCATTGGGAAAAAATTTTTGAAAATTATTTTTCTTGAAAAACATCATGTGTTAAAAGAAAATCAATGGTACAAGTAGTTGGAAAAAAACATGCATTATCAAAAGTTAGTTTTTCAACCTATAATCGATCGATTGCAACGATGTTTTCTTCAAAATTGAAGTGTCATGAAAGAATCATGTTAAAAAGCAATTTCCGATTTTTAAAAAACCATAAATACTTTTCAAAAAAAATTATCGATTTTTAATTTAGAATTTTTTATTCAAATTTTGAAAGCATGGTTTTTAAAAGCAGCATTTTGATATTATATTACACTATTTTAAATAAAATTTTTATTATAACGATTTTTGATGAAAAACAAAATTTGAAACAATTTTTAAAAAAAAATTATTTACATTTTCAGTTTATATTGAGAATTATACAGAAATAAATAGTTAACTAAAATTCTTATTTAATTAACTCAAATGAGAATATCTCCTCGTTATTGAAATTTTCTATCATGGTTATGAACTATATTGATTATAAAATTTCAATAAAAAGATTTCATTTGTAAATTCAGGTTACTTTCTTTTTCACGAGAGAAATAAATGCTTATCACGAGAATGTTTTTGTACATCACTGCTACATGTCTAATGAATATTTTGTATCATTAACTGCCTAGAGCGACGGCCTATATGATAAAAAACGTTACAGAAACATGTTTTGTTTCCAAAAACGATTATCATGACGATTATCATTAAACGATTATAATTTTATTTCAATTGAAATAGGGTTAAATTACACATATTAAATACTAATTTGCACATTTTTTGAGTTAAATAGTCTTTCTCGAGTATGAGTTATTTGCTGTGACGTTTGGTACTTTACTTATTTAAATTGCTTGATTTGTCTATTTAATGTAATTACTTTTGTTACTTTTGTTTGTTTGTTTGTTGTACATCATTACACAGTTTTTATACCATCGTTGAGTTGAACTTTTTTAAATATTTTTCTTTGAAAACAACTTGCCAAATTATGAATTAATTCATTAATATGAATCATGTGATTGAATTTTTGTTTTGTTTTTTTGGAATTGAAAATTTTCGATGAATATTTAAATAAATATATTAGGAGTGGAATGAATATCTATGAGTAAGTATACTTTTGTAAGTCATGTATATTAAAACTTGTGTATATTATAAACAAATTTATTTCCTGGTCATGAATATATTTGAAATTTATTACAAAAAGTATTATTGAGATAAATTTTTTCTATCACTATATTTCAATGAAGCCTACCATTCAGTAGCGTGCTCATATTGCGTTAATATTTTAATTCATTAACAGATTTATTTAAATCCCATAACAATTACCTACTATAAAAGTTGGGATTACTATAAAAGTTGCCAAATTAGAGATTCAGATGAACAAAATAACGTGAATCTCTTAAACTAAAATACATGAATTAAATTTTTCTATCAGTTAAATGCGTCAATGCTAGGTTTTAAAACATCAACAAAATGTATCAGATACACATTTTATTCTCATACGTTTTTTTAAAGTTTACTACAATGAACTTTTTATACTTTTTTTTAGATGAAATTATGAGATATAAACCTAAAAATTGAAAAAAAAATGTTCAAAGAAAGATCTACACTGTAAAAAATTCCGGACAAAATTACCGAAAAAAGTACCGCACTAATTAAAAATATAGATAAAACATGTAAAATAATAAAGATTATTGAAAAAAGAAGAAGAAAAGTTATTTTTAAAAAAATGTTTTTATGAAAAAAATTATTTGAAGAAAAATTACTAAAAAGCCGGAAAACAAAATATTTAAAAGATATAATCACGTCATCAGCTCACACGACTATATCCGCAAAAAGGAGTGCTTTCTATTATAAATGATACATTACTATAATTAATTCCTTTCTTAAATATTTTTTTAAAATATTTTAATAATTTTTCTTCTTCTCTTTTCATTAACATTTATCATTATCCATGTTTTCTCTATATTTTAAACTTATTTACTTGCAGCTTTTGAGCAGTAAATAAAACGAATTAATTTCTAAAACAAAACGTATAATAAATAAAACGTAATGAAACGTATAAACGTAAATAAAAGTGAAGTAAATAAAAGTTCGCAGTAAATAATATTATGTAATATGCGTAAACAAAACGTGTTAAACTTTAAAACGTATTAAGCGTTAAAAATATAGAGAAAACAAGGAAAAAGTTGTCATGATTATTATTGAAGAAGAAAGAAATTATTACAAAAATTCACAAATTTAAAAATAGTATTAAAAAACATGCTTTTAGAAACAATATAATTCCACGTAAATAGTTTATTTTTATTAAATTTAAAATCATTTCTTTTATCGGATAAATCAACAAATACAGATATTTTCCTTTTTTTTTAATACTAAAATCCAAAAAATTAAAATTGATATTATCGTCATGATTACGAAACAACATTAATTCCTTGGGGTAAATGTTATTTCATAGAATTGTATAATTTAAAAAATTAAAGATAATTAAATCATCAGTAAACCTAAAAATAAATCTAAAATTAGCAGTATAATTTTTCTTCTTAATAATGCAAAAATAAGTTAGCTAGGAATGATGAATTATTAAATCCTTACGGTATTCCATCAATTTGAACAAAAATTTGTTTCTCATTGTAATGATAATTATTAAAAAGACAAAAATTACTTAGAATTTCCCATTAAACAAAATTTCAATGAAGGAAGTTTTTATAATCATAGTAATAACTCAAAACAACATCTTTAGTTTAGAAAAGGGAATGCTATTAAAGAGATCTTATATTAAGAATTTTATTAATTATTATTTTATTAAATTATTTGATTAAATTATTTAAAAAAAATTTTAAAATAATTTTTTTTTATTAAATTTTAATTTCCCTAAATTCAACCTATTAATTATAAACTTTGAATTGTCCAGTCTAATATTATTAACTTCCGCACATCCAAATTCGGGCCAATCCAAGGTAACTAACAAATCAAACACGCTTCTGTACTTCAGTAAGAATGCGGCATTAGTTGATCCCTTCCTCTATTTACGTTTCTATTTTCATATTTTGTAATTTGGCAAACTTGTTACTAAAACTTTTTAAATCATTTTTGAAAAATGCCTGTAAGTGTAGTTACCTTTGAATTCACTATTCACTTTATATATTACATGTTGACATTTATTCTGTATTTTCTATTTTTGTTTGATTTTTTCATTTTACATGTTTTATTTTTATTTTAAATTCTTTTGCTTAATAAGTTCTATTTTCGCTCCAAAATTGTATTTGTGCTCCTCACGCTATTGTATTGATATGCTTTGCTTTGGGTATATTAATACAATATTAGGAAGCACTATTTTTTTCGGATATAATAGTGTGAGCTGACGACGAGATTAAAAAACATTTTTCAATATTTTTTTCAATAAGGTTTTCTTCTCTTTTCAAAATCTTTGCATCTTTTTCCTTGTTTTCTCAATATTTTAAACTTATTTTATGAGTTCTATGTATTCGCAACTTATGAGCTGTAAATAAAACTTATTATTATTTTTCTTAATTTCCTTCGCTAATCTCTCTTTTCTTTTCATTTTGCCTTTTTTTGTTATATATATATACATTACGAAATTAGGTAAATATGCATATAGTACATCTAAGTGTTCAAAAACCTTTCGAGTGATTTATCCAAACCGCAAAAAATGCTAATAAAGTTAACTAAAGTAACAATTTTGGGCGTGCTTTAGTTTTAATTAAAATTTTATGCATATACATAATGTTAGTCATGTACATCGCTTAATTACTTTTCAATTTATAAAAAAAATTAACACAGTAATTTGCTTTATAAAATCTCACAAGCTTTCTTTATCAGAAACTATTTGATACTTGAAATATTGACTTTATTTAAAAGTTTTAAAAATTTTTCTATTCTCTATAGTTTAAAAGCAAAAAAAATTGTCTCAAGTTTCCTTACAATTTTTTAAGATTTTTATTTATACTAATATATACGTTGAAATGGAGATTTTATCTTCAAAATACTATTTTTGACAAGTTTCTTAAGCTTTTATATGCATTACAAATTACATTTATCTTCAAAATCCATTTATCTTCAAAATCCATTTCCTGACTTCTTTGTTAAGCTTTTATGTGTGTATATAATAAAATAAAATCATCCCAGGACAGTTAACACAAAATTTGTAAAAGTTTTTAAATTTTATTAATAAATGCAATTTAAGATAAGTATTTTTTTGATTCTTTAAAAATTATTTGTATCTAAGAAATAAGACTTTTCCTTGCTTTATTTTCTTTCAAATGTAATTGAAAAAAATAAAAGCAAAAAATCATATGTTCTGTTGAGAAACATACATGTGGTTGACATCAAATGCGTCCATATTAAATACATAAATTATACACAAAATAATAAAAATTATATTTTAACAGCTAATGAGCTTATTTATATTTTATTTTTCTTTATCATATATTTTACAATTTTTTTACTAAATGTTTCATGAATCCGAAAAACTTTATATAATCGTTAAATTATTTCGATAAAATATAGAAATACTATATACAAAATATATTTTTTTGTCAAACAAACATATTTGTAGTGTATGTCATATATTAATGAAAGCTACCGCATCATTTGAATATTGCTAATGTTGATAACCAATAAAACTATACTTTAAAAAGTACTTTCAGGTATTTGAAATGTGTGTTTGCTTTATAAGCATAATTTAACTCGAAACATGATAATTTTTATAATGTTAATAATTATGCTAAAATTCCGAATTTGCCGTTTCGGTAAAGTTTAAAGAAGTTTTTTAGAACAATGCACAAAAGAAATAAGCGATTATTTTATATAAGGAATACGTTTAAATTGATTCGTGATTATTAGATTAATCACGTAACCGATTTATTAGATTCGTCGAGTCACCTAAACGATTTTTTAGATTCGTCGAGTGATTAAACGATAGTGATAATTTCAAAAATAAATTTAATCGATTAGCCTTTAATATTTTTTTTCATTCTTATCTATTTCATAATCGCCCATCCTCATAGCATAACTTAAGAATATATACTTACAAACAATGAATTTCTTTGTTGTAACTCATGCTGTTATTAACAATAATTTAAAAAATAAAAAGAAGGAATGAATGCTTTAGATATTGTGATTTTCAAACGAAAACGTAGTTATCTTATGTATCTGCGTACAAAATGTTTGCTTTGCAATGTGCTTTGTTAATTGCAACTCACGATGAATTGTATGCTATGCTTCTGAGAAATAAACTTGT